GTATAGTAGGGAAAGCATTAGTTTGAGTTCACACCAAGATTGATAGTAGTTTTCCATGTGTTTTTCTCACTAGGGAAAATGTATAGTAGGGAAAGCATTAGTTTGAGTTCACACCAAGATTGATAGTAGTTTTCCATGTGTTTTTCTCACTAGGGAAAATGTATAGTAGGGAAAGCATTAGTTTGAGTTCACACCAAGATTGTTTCATGGTAGTTTTCTATGTATGAAAAGCAATAAATCATAGTTTTAGAGCTTAGGATGAACAAATGACTGTGTTGCACAACAAGCGTACAGCAAGTTTCCCCATTGACTGATCTTGTAACTTAAGAAATTTCTAATTTTTTACATCTTAGTTACTTTTGTTAAAACATATATAACAATAAATAAAAAAAAATAAGTACAAAATATAAAAACATTAAATTTCACACTTACTTCAGCCCTGAAGTTGTTTGTACTGATGCTTTGCTTCAGTAATTCTACTTTTTTCTAGTTATGTTGGTTGGTCAAACAATAATTTGTGTAGGTTTCAATCTTGAATTTTAGAACACAGAAAGTATACCAAACATTAGAATAGAATACCCTAAAACTACTATAATAGGCTTTCTAATTAACCAATGGATGTGGTAAAAACATTCTGTTAGATGATCGGAGTTCAACACCAGTGAACACAGATAATCTGAAGTCAACTGTTTATGAATGACCACCAAAAAAGAATAACTATAGTAAGATTGTTGTTTTTTTTAGGAAAAAAAATGCTCTTTCTGTTAATTATAAACATGTCCATCAAATAAGGACACGTGTAGATAATTGTTTTGAAAGCTATAATAAGATGGAAGGAGCATATCTGTCGGGTTTGACAAACTTATTGATATCTCTGTAAATCTTGAAGGTAGGAGGTTCAAGTTTCGTATTCTGGCTTGTCATTATCTATACTTTGTATTTATAATTGGTTGGACACTGAAACCCTTATTCAGGAAGATAGAAAACCCACAAGGGAGAATTCAGATCACAGATGCATCACATGACATAGAGAAGTGAAGATTGACAATTTACCTAAATACTTCCTTTATAAACTGAAGAATTACAATTTAGATAATATAAAAAGTTTATAGATAATATCAATGTTTAAGTAAAGTTTGAGGGAAACCGTTAAATATTATAATGTGCACTTTAACCTAGTTCGAGAGCATAGGGTTTAGTGATGTTTTTTTTTAATTTATTTATTTATAGAGGGGGTGTTGTAGATAGGACTTGTTGTTATGTTCGTGTAATATTTATTCGTCTATAACTTTTTTTAGATTTGTGAAGTGGTATTTTTTTTTATTTATTTATTTATGGAGATAAATATTGTAGATAGGACTTGTTGTTATGTTCGTGAAATATTTATTCGTCTATCATTTTTTTTTTTCAGATTTGTGAAGTTTAATCCACTTGGGACCAAGCTCATAACAGGCATTTCAAATCTTCCCGTTGACAGTTTTCCGTCTCGTATCATGGATTCAGTCATCAGCCAAGGCAATTCTTCATCTTTTTCACAGAATTTCACGTCTCAAAGACGTAGCATTTTAACTCGTCTGATGGCAATGTATCGACACTTGGAAGGTTTAGAAGAGGTATCGGTCATATATTATAAGTTCTGTTTTACAGTTTTTATGTATCAATTATCGTAATTACTTTGTTAACTTTTGTGAGATAGTCTTTTACAAAAAATAAATGAAACTATTTTTTTAAGAACTTTGTAATGATTGTAAATTACGATCGGGGAATAGAATTTACTGCCATTTGTTGGATTTCCAGTTTCTTAGTGTTGCCCAGGGGTTGTTCATGAGGTTCCCAATAATCTGGGAGAGTAATACTTTATTGCCCATTTTCCCATTCCAATAACAACTCAAAAACATCATATTTACATAATAGATTTTTCTGGGCAAGAATTATTTGAAAAAAATTGAATATTTTAACCAGTAGCCCACTTTGTTATTTTTAATATGTCATATTTGTGCAATGCTGCTTAATTTTTGAAAACAGTAATGTGAAAACTGTTACTATATATCTGGTAGCAATAGCTTACGGTACCTTTGTTTCGATAATCATCATTAGCCTTGTATTAATTAAGTTTTACTTTTAGTAGTTTAATATTCTATCATACTAAGTTTAACCATTTCACTGTGGCTGCTTTAACCACACGTGGAATTTTTGCAAGACGTACACTCGCATTCAACTGCTGGAGGCAGACCATACCCCTATACAGCGAATCAGCAGTCAGTGGGTTAATGTTTGATATGTAGTAAAAGATGATAATCAAAACAAACAACTAATTTTTCTGTATACTTTTATTTTTCACTAAATGGCTAACCAGATCTGGCTAATTTACTGTAAAATTTAAGGGCATCATATATGTTATATATGTATAAAAAATGGGAATGCACTGAGAGCTTCTAATTAAAAAATAATAATTCGGGGGGGGAGCTACTTCCTGACTTGGTGCCCAGAATATGACTCAAAATATTTTACATTTTTTCCTTAGTCCATTCTCAACCCTGTAGAATGTGCTCTTCAGATATATTTAATTATGTCTACTAATTGGTTTTATATTGACAGTTTTAAAATATGCTCAAATAAGTATTTGCTGTTTGTTCTGATTTTAATTTCTTAATTTTTCAAATTCTAAAATAACATTATTTGATTTTAGAGCTAGCATTATTAGTTAAGCAAATTAGCAGTCACAAATAAGATGCTTTTTCCTATTTAAAAAGGGCCTCATTGGTTTGATCAGAAAGAGCAGTTAAACTCATTGTCCAAAACCTCTTATTACCTTTTGCAGAATTAGAAACATTTTATGTTTATTGTATCTCCATCACTATTAAAGTAAAAACAAATGATACCAGTGGGACAAATTCTGGTGTCATTGCAATGATGTATCTAAGCAAGTAAAAATCTGAACATATTAAAAAAAAACATGTTAGAAACATAATGTAATTATTGTTAAATAATTGAAGAAAACACCTAATGAGAACCAACTACATACAAGTTTCCCAACTTTGCTCACTGTAAAAAGTTTTTAAAGTTTGCCTGCAGTGTTATTAAATATACCTGAAAAATTGTACGTAATTTAATATTAAAAGAGAAGCACAAAGGTCTTTGACATTCAGTTGACAAAACGTAAAAATTAGCAAGCTTAATGTTTGAGTTTGAAATTAAATTAAATATTTTTAGGTATGTAAACTTGAATGAAATAAATACTTACGTGCTCACAGTTTGATCTAAAAGTATCTTTTGAATCTTAGATCGTCATTGGGAAAATGTTTGATTTAGAAATTTACATTTCATTGGTTAAATTATAAAATAGTAAATTATAAATGTTGTTCGGGGTAACAAATTACTGGGATTTGAAATAGTTCTTGTGGTTTATAGTGAAACTAAATATAGCTTCTTGTAATTCTTCACTAGCTGGAGTACATGGGAAAAGGCTGATCAGTTTTAACTTTTACTTACAAAATATGACATCATAAACTAAAATATATATTCATGATTTTCACACAAAGTGTTTTCATTCACATGATTTTTTTTTGTAGAAGATATTTTTTTTGACACACTTTTCTTCAGAAACTTATAATTCAATATAGTCCTTTTATGTATGTTCTTCAGCTGTCTCGATTCCAAGAACCTCAGGGAGGGTCTTCCCCTACCCAAGAAGATGCTTTAGAAAGTGCACGTGAATATGCGGAAGAAATAACAACTCGTTTTCTAAGACAGCGTTACAGACAGGATGAGGTGGGTGTTTTTTTTATTATAATTACAAAAACAATTATTGAAAAATACGTTGATTGAAATGGGTACAAACCTAGAATTCAACCACCTTCTTCTAAATTAGTTGGTATTTTGCTTTGACTATGCTTAGTGTATGAAATATTTATGCAAAATATTTTTTTTTATACACATAGTTCAATTATATTATTTTGTGTTCAATCTTTTAATTTTGAAGCCTGTGAAATTTCTTAAACTCAACTATTAAAAAAAAGATTGAATGTAAATGCATTTGTTGGCTTACTATAAAGTTTTTACGTATCTTACTTTTTACTTAAGGTTTAGATAATTGAAAATATTAGTTGGAACTAAGTGTGTGTGTGGAAAACCAGATGACCTTCATGACGTCACTGAACTCAGTTTATATATATATATATCACTCAATCGATTACACTATCATTCTCAGTTTGCCGAAGAAGAAAGGTCCACCTTTCGAAAGTGCTCAGGTCATAGGGTTGTTATTCATTTCTGTATATTATAGATGTTGACATGAATCTGTTGATGATTAAAGGGATTACACTGGAATCTAATGCCAGGCTTGAGTTTAAAAAAAATAATGTACAATATACAAGAGACATATCACTCAGCCTAAAAAATCGGCTGTAAAGTTCATATTCCACAAACTTTATTCTTAATGTTTTAGTGAAAGCTAAACAATAGGTTACCTGTGCTCTGTCAATCATGGGGAATTGAACTCCAGATTTTAGAGTTGTAAGCCTGTAAACTTATTGCTGAGTCACTAGGGGACTTGTTCTTGAAATATATTGATTTAGATCTCATTTGCTTCATTAGAAAGTTCTCATGATGGTTTAAGTGTTTTCTTTTGTTATTACGTACTTTTAAATGTGGGAAAGATAAAATTTATTGTAATTTCTCACAGAGATGTTGCACTTGTACAGTTTTGCGTTAACTCTCTTGCAGAGTTTATATAGAATTATTTGCTCCAGACATACGTGCTTATAATTGTAGTGCTACGTATTTGTAATAAATACATCTGTATACAGTAGTTTTACAAGTATACTTTCTATAACAAACTAACTGTGGTACATGTAGTTTAAAAAAGTTCCACAGGGTGCCCCCTATCCTGAATTATATATATCAAACTTGATGCTGTGTTAGCACTACATGTTCACACAACTTGCGATTAATGTCATGAATTGGCAACTAGAAAAGCCAGCTATTTACTTCAGCTAATCTACCAAACCCCACTGAATCATTGCAAATTTAATTTTCCATTCCACTTGTTCCCCCCTCCCCCTCTCCTGCTGATTACATCGCTATAATCAATATTCGTATCTTTTTGTACAGAGATAAGCAACAGAGATATTTTCATGATGAATTTGTTGTTTGACCCACTGGAAGCTCATCCTTGCATATTAGTAAATACTGTAACTACGATGTCTCAACTGGAATTTTTTGCTGCCAATGTTGACAGTAGCTATTTTTTTAACAGTTTCACGATATTCATATGCATAGCGTTAATGGTGTAAGTCATATTAAGACTGAGGTAAATATATTCACCACAATAAAATGATAAATGTATGTTAAAATTCGTGGTTAATTGAATGTATGTTTGGCTTGTTGAAAGTAAGACAAACTAAACATATAGCTAAGATCATTTTCACCCCATTGTTAACACAGTCATTCATAAAAGTAAGTACAGCTGTACTATTTTGTAATTTATAAAGTAGACAATCAATTTTGAATCTGAATATTTCAAGTATCTTTTGCTTGTATTGCAATTAATGTATTATTTGAAAAGATGAGACCAGAAAAAAATGTCAGATGTTAACAAGTATTCTTTTTTTAAAAATTAAGTTCAAGTAATCTCAAGCAGTTAAAAGTTCGAAGCCAGAAAATGATGCTTTGAGATTTAATAAATTATGTCAACTAGTGAAGAAGGCTAGTGTTCTGTACAGAAGTCATTGCATATTTTTTTTAATTTGACGTGTATTCCAAGTTTTTCTTCTTTTTACATTTTCAATTTCAATGTATAAAAGTTTGTTTAGTGGTTACTGGATAATAACTTCAGAAATATATGTGTGGCCCAAATAGGTTCTTGGAACTCGGAACGAAGAAGAAGAACTTACTGTAGAAGCTGCACAACCTAGGACCTCTTCCCTTCAGCAACCAAGCACTTCGAGTGGAGCAAGAGCTGACAATACTAGAAGTCAAACAAACGAGTTTCAAGCAACTGTACAGAGGCTGTCATCAATCTGTGCTCGATTGGAACGTCGAATGTTTGAACAGCAATTCTTACAGCTGCAGGGAACTACTGAATCTCTAGTCTCTTCAAGCTCGACATCAGCTGATACTTTGCGGAGGGACAGAGATGAACTCTCCCAGACTAGTCAACAGTTCTCAGCATTAGATCCTAGGTACTTGTTGCATTGGTAACTACTGCTTAATCTTATTTCATTACTAATATTATGTTTAGAATGCATTATTATCTCTCTGTCTTGCTGTAATTAGCTGTCCTTTTCTCTGCATTTTATCTTCCCTATTGATTCAAAATTTCACGAAGAGTGTTGCAATGCTTCTGTTCCAGTGATAACATGCTGTGTCTTCGTTATTTAGTTTCATCGTATTTCCATACTTGCATATGATTTTATACTATGGTGTACAAATATCAGAGTATAAGTGTGTATCTTGTATATTACCTGAAAACTTTTAATGAAAGTAACTAGTATTTTTTAACAATTTAATTAGACCTGTTTCTTAATTAATCTAACTCTTCAAATCTCAGTAACTCTGAGGACATAATCAAGTAATTTATTTAATTAATTAATTTGGTTTAGTAATACTTGTAGGATGATCTCTTTTGTACCTAAAAAATATTTCTATTTTATTGTAGGAGCCATCCGTTGCTTAATCGTGAAATGACTACACAGTTAGGTCAAGAATTTTCTCTTTCTTTGGCTGACCTACTTAGAAGATTACAAAACTCTCTTCAGAATTTGAGTCAAACCACTTTCGCTTCTTCTGAAGCATGGGAGCAGATACAACAGGTTTGTTTTTGATTTCTACGGTATAAAAATGACCACCAGGAAGTAAAAAAAAAACTGTAAAAAACTAATCCGTTATACGTAAACATGGAAGTTATTGTTCGCAAAAACACTCGAAATTATGTTTTACAGTCAGACTTTTTATAGACTCAAATAAAAATTTGTGAATTATAATTAGTTCAAAATTTCATGATACTGTCACTAATCTTATAAATTCTGAATTTACTCAAAAGTCACAAACAACAATATTATTGAATGTTTTTTTTTCTTTCGCAGATAAGAGCTAGAATATCGGAGATTCTGGAAAGGCTTTCAAACGTCAGTGGTTATAGAGAAAGATTAACCAACTTGAGAGACCAGATATACGAAGGTAAGAATGAGTCTGAAAATTTATGTTTCACCAAAATGTCGTACAGTATAGTTTTCAGTTAAGGTATTTTGTTTTATAGTATCAAATTGTTTTCTGTATCATATATTAATAGAACTAGTATGAATAATATTTCTTTAACCACTGTCCTGGCTAAAATATACACCCACAAATATTCACTACAAGACAGTAAATAAGGAGTAGGTGTGGTTTCTTTTCGGTATTTCACTATCAATATATTTTATCTTTATTCAGCATGAAAATCTTCATCAATTACTTTTTGCTACCATGTATGTGTGGTAAAACTCAACTAGATAGAAACAATACTAATCTCTTTTTTTTACGTGTGTACGTTGTTTGAACATTTTGCTATTGCTTACTGAACTTGCTAAACCTAATTAATGCTTACCTATAAGAAAATTTCTGTAGTTTTCAAACATATAATTTTAACACAAAAACATTTTCAAGAACATCTAAAGAAACTATAAACAGACTTACAAATTTGTGGTTTGTTCTCCAGTTTTGTAAAGCACATTAGAATCATTTGTTTATCCCAACAGTAGCTCTGGGTATCCAGTATTTAATAAAATCACAATTTACTACTCAAAGCACTATTTATTTTACATTGACAGAGATGGTTTATAATCTCTTCTATCCAATCATTTTTAACCATTGGTTCTAGCTGTTTGAAAAGTTGAGCCTCTATGTTAATTCTTAAGATCACAAGCTGTGATGCTGTAAAAGGGGGGAAGTAAAGGGATGTACCAATAAAACCACAAACAGAGAGAAAGAAAATCATGTGAAAACAAGACAAGGTTCATTATATTTTCAATAAATGGTAGTTTTTTTTAACAAATATAAACCTATACTTTGGGATTTGATAGAAAAATTTGAAAAAAATTGATAAATACATTGTTTGCAAGCAAGATTCCTTACATATATATATATATATATAATGTGTGTCAAAAAATAGTTGGGAAATTGTTTTAATTTTTCTTTAAAATTACATGTAGATGTGGATTAAACACTTTTAGGTGATCTTCAGTCCAGATACAGTTAATTCAGTTCATCTGAAAGCATTTAATAGATTCCACCTATCTGTTTTGAAGTTTGTTTCAGGACCACTTCTTGATCTGCTAATCTAGTCTTCGTAAGCTACTCTCCCCCGTTTTTTTTGGGGGGGGG